ATAAACTAATTCCGTTGCCAATTCCGATGGGCGATAACCGTCAGACGTTCATCAACCTTCGAGTATCGTATATTCTTCTCGATCAGCAAAAATAATTCGATACACAAGCGAAAAACAACCGCCACGAAAGAAGACGGTTTTCTCTCTCTTCGTTTCGACGTATCACGCACAATAAGATCGGCGAGGCAGAGTCACGTTCCAGCGTTAAACGCGGAATACTAAACGAAGCTCTTCAGGCGACAGTTAAATAAACTCATGGTGTAATAAGATAAGAGGTCTATTCACGTTGCTTGCACTTTTTACACTCAGCTTAATCTTCGCTTTCTCTCTTTTCAACACCCAAATATATATCTATCTTATTTTAGCTCAAATATTTTTGGGGATTTCTCTCTCAAGCAATGCAAATAGACCTAAGGTTCCCGCGGATGCGCAAATTTAGGAGATCGAATTTGGACTAAAATTTGATTGGCTGTTCGATGCTGCTGCTATTATACGCAGAGAAGTACATTTGGGTCCAAATTTGATTGATTGTTTCCAGCGCTATCGCCATTATGCGCAATGTTTCACCTTATCTTATTATATCATAGATAAACCAATAAAGCCGGCAATTAGGGATATCGTTTCGCATGAGGATGGTAAGATCACATGATAATTTATTATCGCAAATAATAATAAAACTTCATGCATACATTAGAAGTAGATATTATTTTTAAAAAACCACACATGCAAAGCGAATGCTTTGAAACAGGACGTATTATCTCTTTCTTCCATTTCTATTTTTCCTGTAAAGGGTCTATTTGTATAACTGCAGTGTTAAGATGTTTTAATTCTGTTGACTCTAATAAGTGATTAGAAACTAATAATGAACGAACCGGGTCTGCGACACGTAAATTTTATTTATAATTGTGTAATTGTTACAATTCATTTATTAACAAACTCTTTCAAGATTAAAATGTATGTTTTTACTACACGTGTGAAAAAAGATTCACGTAATTAATTATTTAATTAAAAGGGAGGAAAAGTATTATGATTATTTTAGTAATTAGTAATACTTAGATAAGGAAAGTACATATGTATGTAAATTACATTAAAATAATATTAATTACGAGCAAAATAAAAAATTATTTACGAAGAAGCGATTGTATCAAGAAACATTCCATATAGTATAAATAATTAGCAATACGTCTATCAAATTATCATTCTAAGATAACATTCTATTATCATGTGAATTTGTATCTTGTTATATGAATGATCTGCTAATATGATGATATGATATTTTCACGTTATAATAACGTCATCAAGAATGTCATTTTATATTTCAGCAACTCCTGCAGTATAAATATCGCGTATACACAAATAGAGAGAAAAGTAAAGAATGATATAGTGTGGCGGTAATCTATCATTAGCAAACGAATCTATACATTCGGATGCATTTACTTTCACGTCAACAGATACGGTATAATTGTACGTTTATCTTCTAATAATATTAGATAACATTTACCTAGACGAAGATACATTAAAGAAATAATTTTAACGATAATAATTTTAAAAGTCAAGAAGAAATTTCTTACTCCATATCTATAATTACTTTAAATTAACAACACACCATTAGTTTAGTAAGAAAATAGCATTACATCAACATTATCTTAAAAAATATTAGGTACGTCTCTTAGCAAAAATAATTAAAAGTCTGATAAAGAAAAAAAAAGTTTTAACAAAGTAACGTTTTGATAAGTATTTCCTTGAAAGTCATATCTTTTTCAGTTAAGCATACTTAGATAGCTGTAAATATTATTTAAAGTTTTTTAAGAATTTACGTTTACTTAAAGTATAATAGAGTGTACAAAAATTGTATTGAAGTACAAAAGTATCTTCAATACTCTCAATTTATTTATATTTATTTATATATTTAATTTATTAATAAGTTCCATGGTTTGTATACACGGAAAGAATGATTTTGCTGAAGTATCTAAAAATTTAGCTATAGATATAGATTTAAAAATAATTTTATTGAACTATTAAAATAATTATATAGAACGCTTAAATTGGTTGCTAGACTGTAAAAACTTTTTGCAACATTGCTCATCATGCTTGAGTTTCCTGCATAATTATTTAATATTTTAATGATCCAAAAAATTATTTTTAAACCTGTGTGTGTGTGTGTGTATCTACTTAAAATTTAAATATTTCAGCAAAATTGTTTTTTTCGCAGATATTCAATATTCCATTGAGTCTAGTAATAAGAACTTGACATATTTCACATGCACTAATGTTAACAAACAAGACATTATTCTAAATACATTAGATAGAAATAATAAATTTGAAAATATAAGCATCTACTTTTATAATCTCTTATACTCTTCCTTCTTATTATCTTATACGAGAAGACATACACATGTACGAACATGAGTTTTTGCCTGTTAACGAACTGAAAATCACAATGTCAACAAAAATGATATATTTAAGATCTCGAAATGGCGCCTAGGAACCTCGATATGTGGAAACGCGTCAGTGAAACTCACGTGCTTCCCGCGTCACGAGGAAGCAATTGTTAACAATTGTCGCGCATTGTGTGAGTCGAGAAAAACGAGTTCTCCCAACTCATGGTGAGACCATTCGCGGGACTGTAAGGAACTTGGTTTCAGTTGTGCCTTATCGCGAGCACGGAACAGATACGGCCGATCCGTGAATGCAACTCTTACGAAATTTTTCGTGTGGAGAAGAGAGCGGCTGCGCTTTCGTATGTGTCTCTGAAATAGAGAACGCTCTTGCGTTTGCTTCGTGGGAGAGATAAATCGTGCGTGAAAGAACTCGCGTGGATAAAGTGAAGGTGCGAAGTACGACGTAAATTGGGAGATATGAAGTTTCAAAAAAAGAAATGATATTACGAGTTTATGTAGAATTGAATGAATATCTATTTTTCATGAATGATTTTATTAGATTCTTCTTCATGACGGAGTAAGAATACTAAATGTTAATTCTACGATACATTTCACATGTGCATACATAAAAAACGTGACTACACTTCTAACTTGATATAAAAAGTAATTTAAAAAATATTGAAAATAAAATTATTTCAAAAACTATTATAGAAATCAAAGCCTTAAATGGTCTAGCTGGATCTTAATGCTTATATGATTCTTATGTGAATTTACATATCACGTATGTAATTCTTAGAAACGTGCGCCAAAATGATTTTTCGATCTTGAAATGCTAACTCTACTAAACTACTGCAGTAATATCACGAGTTAAATTGATTAGCAATTTAATAAATTTTTTATGCTTATTCGCATCTTCGAAACGATTTTAATAATGTTGAATGACATATTAAAATATGTAAATAATTAATTCTTATTGCGGAAAATATTACCTCGGCCGAAAGTGATCGAACCCGGATCTCTTGCATTTCGTGCGCGCGAAATTATTTTATTTTATTAGATCATCAAAATAAGTACATAACTTAAGCATGCTGAGTAATGCTATAAAAAGTTTTGACATTTTATAACCAGTTTGTGAGCAGCCTATATAATTACTACTTGGTGATACAACAAAATTATTTTTAGATACATATATGCAAACAAAATTAATTTTCAGATGTATATCCTGCTAAATTCTTAAATATTTCAGCAAAATAATTCTTTCTATACATAATAATAAGATTTTATTCGGACCGACAAGAATTAAACACTAAGTAGAAGCATATTCCTCGGCTTGAATATGCTTATACTTAGTGTTTTTCTCTCTCTCTCTCTCTCTCTATGTACAGTTATAATAAAATAAGAATATAGTTACAGTTATAATTTAGAAGATTTTATTCATTTCTTCGCTAATTGTAAAGCACATAAAGTATTTATAATTGTCAATAAAATTTATAGAACATTTATATAAATATCGAATAATTCGAATAAATTATAAAAATTGAGTTTTTAAAATTCATGAAATATTTTAATTTTGTAATTTTTCATCAATCACTATGGATTCTTGAACTCGGCTAATATTGATATCGGAAGGGGATATTTTCAACGAGTGCTATTCAGTATCAAAGGTCACGGGAAATCGATAAAAACTGAATATGTATGTGAATAATATCATTCAAAATAGGCGTATACACTTAATTATCGGGAACAGAAATGTTTTCTGCATTTAGTTTTATTCGTGTATGCGATGCTTTTACTATTCAAAAAATATCTATGCGTTCTAAAAATTAAATATATAATAATCTAAGAATAATCTAGATGTATTAAATTTAAATATTTTTTTACATATAAATTCTACGAAACATGTAGCTGTAACTTCAAAGAATTTCTAACTTTCTAATTTTACGGAATAAATATCCGTATTAAGTCTTATATACTTTTTGTGAATTATTTAAAAAAAGACAAAAAATCTTTTGCATTTTAATTAAATATATATATATATTATTAATTAAATAAAAGATTTTACATAAATATATGAATGAAATTATATAATATGATTATCTATAGATTGTTACAATCTAAAGATAAAAGCGATATCATTATTCTCCAAATTAATTGAAAATTAAATTAAATTAATTATTTGCGGTTCTTACAAACGAGGATCAAATATCCTCAATCCAATATAAGCGCCGAATTTTGATTATTTGAAGAAATTCAGTTTAAGACAGGAAAATACCTATTAAATTAAATACAAGAGTTACATTTATTTGACAGAAATTGCGAATATTACAAACAAAATTTCCAGAGAACACTTCCGTATAATAAATTTCAATTCAATTGAAATAACAATATCCTCCTGGGCACATTCTTGTTTGTGCGACAATGCTAATCGCTTTGGAATGATTCTGTGTACCCCACGCTATGTCGGATTATTGGTATCGATTGTATATCGACATACGTAATATCATATCATATCGCAAAAAGCGCGAATAACAGTCGATTAAAGTGCGTATTCCCAGTCGCATCAAAATACTTCGTTGTTAAAAGGATCATCATTCTCGCGCGAAGAGAGAAACTCGTCCGAGGAAAAAGTTTTTTTGTTGCGTTTTTATTGAAGATCACTTTCTCGTCTTTCGAGCTGTTGAACGAAAATTATTCAACGAAAGAAATGATGGTCTCGTCTAGTATGAGTTTACTGGCGGTCGGAATAGCTTCTGGAATTTTTCTTTACATCAGCCTTCGATCGAGGTAAGTGCTAAAAATATTTTAAAGATTGATTCCCTAATATTTTGTCCTATATTAAGTACTTCTTGAAATTTTTTACCTACATATGTTTGATATTGTTCTTAATATTTTCTCGAGAGAAAGATAAGTTATTAAAACAAGCTGACACACAAAGAAATACATTTTTAAATCCTCTAATCTTTCGAATTCTACAGTTGAATCTAGAGATTATTAAAGATGTATTACATATATTTTTTAATAAAATGAAAAATTATGAAAAAATTACAGAATTTTCTATATTATATTGGAAAGTAATACTAAAAATTTGGTAGCTATTTGGGGAACCTGGATTGAAAATTATTTCAATAAGAAGTTGACATGTTTTAAAAAAATAATTAAGATAAAATGGAAAAACTTTATTTAAACTATAAAATTGTATTGTGAAATATAAATTTATTGATGTGATGTGTTGAAATATAACTTTAATAATAATAATTTTATTACTGTTTCATATATGTATGTAACATTCAATTTTATACAGAAAGTATTATATAAATTTCGAATTCCAATCACTTTTGTAGAAAAAAAGTATATACCTGTGGATACATCCTTAAACTTTTAGATTATTAAATTTTCCTGAAACTCAAATATTCTATGTAGATTGAAGTCGAAAATTATAAATATTAAATATGCAAGTTACTGAATTTTGAAAATCCTTGAATTTTTATCAGAGAGAGAGAGTATTATCAAATCTATTATCTTAAATTCTGAAATGTCAAGAAGTTTAGACATCTATCTAATTTTCGACATTTTAGAAAGTTTAAAATCTTTCTATAAATCAAAAATAATTTTTTCAGTGCAATACAAACCGTATAGTTCTTTCATATATTAATTATTTTTATACTAAGCATTTTTGAGCAGTGATGTAATCAGTGGCAATGATGTAATCTGAAAATTCCTTTATCAATAATAGAATTCATATTTATCGTGATCGTATCAATACCTAAGTTAATTTTTATGATCCTCTAGAAAAACCTATATACTATTGCGATAATCTCGCCGACGTCATTGATTATCGCATCAAACAATTACACAGTTGCATTAAGAGAAAAATGTTTTGCATTTGTAACTATAATTATATATTACTATAATTATGATTATTACTGTTATAATAATAATAACAGTAACTATGTATATAGTTCTAGCAACAAATGTATATAGTTGGCAACCTAAAATGACTATAATTATAATTATTATAGCCATAAAATAGTTGAAATTATCATAAAAATGATTCAAGTGACTATAATTTTATAGTTATATTTTGACAACCATAATTTTTATGGTTATAATAATTATAATTATAGTCATTTTAGGTTGCCAACTATATACATTTGTTGCTTGAACTATATACATAGTTACTATTATTATAGCAGTAATAATCATAATTATAGTAATATGTAATTATCACTGGAATGGACATCGAGGAAAATTCTTGGCCGCAATTGATCAGCCGCCATTTTAATTGGGACGATATTTGAGCGAATCAGAAGCGTTCGCGCGTGCGTTGCGATCAATGTATGGAAATCTATATGGACATGAATGGTAAATAAACAAAAATAATGTCACTTCAATTATTTTTACCTATGAAATGAAAGGCCCTTTTTACTTCTCTGCCTACAGGCACACAGCACTTCATGTTGATGCTTTGTAAACATTTACAAAAATAATGTCACTTCAATTATTTTTACCTATGAAATGAAAGGCCCTTTTTACTTCTCTGCACACAGCACTTCATGTTGATGCTTTGTAAACATCGCAGTCACGCGATTTTATAATCCTTTAAATATAATCTCACACACGATAATTTTGCTGACATATGCGTCTTATTTCGTCGCAAGAGAATGGCCCCGATTCTAACACAGAGTCGATACAGCCGCTTATGCGGTGAGTAACAAAAAAACAATATACACAGAATACGAAAGTCTAAAAGAGTAACCATAGACATATAAGATAGACCTAGCATCTATAGTAATATGCTGGGTTTGGCAGAACGGTGCGAGAGGCAAAATATCGGGGCAACCTGTCCTTCTCTGCATCTTGACATTCTTGACAAAATCAAAATGGCTGACTACGTTAGGATCGTCTGTATTCTTTGTCCATTGTTATAATTGTGTTATTTTGCATCACCCAGTATTCTGACAGACAAGGAGAAAATATCCTGTTACACGTAAATGAAGCATATGTTGTACGTATTGTACGCATACTAACGTCTTACTAAAGAACACTAAACGCAAGTGCGCATGAGCACCTAAAAGCTTCTGATTCGCTCAAATATCGGTCCCAACCAAAATGGCGACTGATCAATTGCGACCACGATTTTCTATACTTCATAGCGGAGATGCTCATTCCAGTGTATATTTAGTTCAATGGTAGTTATAGTGACAAATACCAAACATTTTTCTCTCAGTGTGTGTTTACGATGATTTTTTACATCTATTTATTAATTGCGTTTTCTGCATTTAAAACATAGAAGAACAAATATCACTCTGTTTGGTACAGCAGATTTTCAAATATAATCTATATTTTTAACCTCAGTGAATGGTTTTATCAGTAAATCGCATATCGGTAAAGATAAACGTTGAAGTTTGACAATACTTGACTACCACTTCGAAACTTGGAATTGTTCGTGGCGCAACAAAAGCAAGAACGATTTGTTTCGGCGATTTAAAATTGTAGCAGGTTTATTAATTCACAAAGCAGATCGATACCTATCACTTGCTGGTTCTAACAATAAGATAACGAGATAGCATTGTGTCGCCTACAACCCGGATTAAAAATTGATTTCACCTCTCAGCGTATCAATGCTTATAATAGAAGCAATACTGTAAAATCATGTAAAGATTCGTAGATTGTATCGTATATATACAAACTATTTTCGTAGTCTTGTCAGATTTGTCGATATTCTTTTATATCTGGAAGAATCTTGTTATTTCGGAAAGTGGTATAAATTATTTTTTGATGAGCTCTCTCTCAAAAGTTCAAAAACACACACGTGTACTCAACCGAAATAAATCGCGCTTGCCGGACAAGTTATTTTTCTATGCTGCACAAAATAAGGTTGCGCTTCTTTTAAATTATTCTTAATAAAGGAAAAAGAAAAGAAATACATAATAAAGATTTTATTCTGAATAATTAAGATCGCGCGAGGGATAACGGAGATCGTCGAAATGGAACAAGATAATTTCTCGTAGATAAAATAATATCGCTGTAAAATCATCAAAAAAAGTTATATATGGTCAAATTAAGATCGTAACGGAAATGTCGATGATATTACTAAAGCAATTAATTTCGTCATCAAAAAATCCCAATAATTCAAATTATTTTATTTGCGCTGTGCACACAAATCTTTCATTTAATATTTCAACTAATACGCGGAAAGAACAATTTTGCTAAAGTATCTAAAAATTTAATTAGATATAGATTTAAATAAAAAAACAATAAGAATCAAAGCGAATCAGAGTATAGCGTGGTTAGCAATGCGCAAAGAATAGTATAAAAACTTTTACTGATTTATTTTTAGCAAAATCATTCTTCCTGTGTATAAAATTTTTCATTATAATAATGACTTTATTCATTAATAATGTTATCAAAAGTATCTTTGATATATTCAATATCACTCCACTGCCACTATCATTGAGTAATAAAAAGTAATAAAAGTGAAATGATAAAAAGTGTATTTAAAATCACTAAAAACTTATTAAAATCAGATTAACGATGGTCTGCCATAAATTTGATATGAATACAATAAGATGTCGAGAGTGTGTGAAAAGTCAACTAATATTGACAAGCATATTCACATCAAATTTATGGCAGACCATCGTTAATCTGATTTTAATAAGTTTTTAACTAAATAATAACAAAAATATAACTAAATAAAAAAAAATAAATAAATAAGATAAATTTAAAACATAAAAACATCATTCCTCCATGATTAAACCATAATATAACGAATTAATCGATCATTTGTAAATTCAATGCATTTATTTGTTTTTTAATAAAAATCACCTCTAAAATTAATCTTTCATCAAAACTTTTTCCCTCATCAAGAATCAAAAAGTTGTTGCAATAAAAATCATGATTATGCTCAATTCTATATTCCGTAATAACTGAATGTTATGTAGTGTTTTTTTTTATCTCTATCAGATACTTTCAGTTATTTAATAAAATCGTTTTTTCCGCGTAAATTTTAGATTGCTTTGAAATAACGCTTCGCCATTCAATGATTTACCTTTCTTATATCTTTAATTTCACATTTATACCCTGCGTGCAGACTTTTCCTTCCGCGACGCAAATCCAGCATACGCGATTACGCCGGCAAGAATGTTCCGTGCAATGCTCCCGAACGGATCGCGTGAATAATAATCGGCGTGGTCCCGCGACCTCACAGACGAGCCGGTTTAGGATCGCGGTACCACCGGAAGCGCCCACGGCGCGGTGATGCGTGCGACGAGACGTATATCGACGACATATCGATACACGCTGAAGAAGAGAAGGGAAAGAGGGATCGTCATTAAGAATGCACGTGGCGGGCCACGGGGCGTGGAGTACGTCAATGGTAAAACGTCGGGCGTTGCACAATGTACGTATCGAGCCGTGTTGAACAATAGACGCAACGGCGCGTAGGGGAACCGGAAGCACGTACAGGAACGCCAAACACCCAGGTATCCGCGCGCACTAACGACGCTCTCTTCATTGTCGGGATATTCGCTGTCGCGGGTAGTCGGTCTCGCCCGGTGCGAACGCTCGCTCGAACGCGAACCGATATCTCCGAAGGTGTCGAGGATCTCCTCGGACGATTCTCGTCTTTTCCGTGCAGAAATTGATCGCACTTTCCGATGTGCATTGATTGCCAAAGTTTTCCAATTACTCGAAATTGATTTTCCAAGGAATCATATTGCTGTCGCATTGTGATCTACCGCAAGGATAAAAGCATAAATCGTTGGAGTGTTTTTGGCGTTACATCG